ACTAAAAAAAATGATGTCTGAATCTCAATTGCATCGGCAGCACACAAAGGAAAAAACAGGAAAGTGGACTTCAACTTTAGAGCTGGCAAGCTTGGCTCACACTAATAGTGGTGGCCAGCAGAGAGAGAGAAAGCATTATTCAATTTTCAATTATTGTATGCCTTCAGATTAGCAGAATAAAGGAAAGAGAGGGCACTGGGAAAAGTGGGGGACACTGGTGTAGAATGGCGTACTGCAGAATGGTTTTTTCTTCTGTCGACAGTCAACCAGCTTCTCGGTGTCTCTCGTACAATTTCCAGTTTGCAGTTTGCACTTTTTCTCCCTTTTCTTTTCCTAGTCTATTATGCTATTTAGGCAGTAGCAGTGTTAGTAGTAGGCCTTGCAAGCTAACTCGTTCAGCCTTTCATTCTTCCTCTTCTATGAAATTGTCGTCGTCGCCGTTGTCGTCGTCGCCGTTGTCGTCGTCGATTTGGTGCCATTTCTCACTGGTGTATGGAACTACTGCTCACTTTACTGCTCAGTCTGGCTATTCAAATGGGTCCGAGTTATTCGAGTTTGAAAGCTAGAACATCACACAAGGAAAGAGAAAAGAAAAGTAACAAAAAGAAAACGAAATGAAAAAAGCACATCATCCTTCTCCATCTCATAATGGTGCCGCGCGATCCATAATGGGCACATGCTAATGTCATTAGAAAGCATCATCCGTCTCATTCTCATGCTCGTCGATGTCTCAATGTCTCCTTCTCTCTCGCTCTCACTTTTTATTTCTTTTTGTGCCCTTCAAGTCAGAGTCAGAGTCTAGTGTGCCCAGCCAAACAGTGGAGCCTGTCAAGCGAACAGTAATCGGTGCAAGTGTAAGCAAGGCAACATGTGCCCAAAGCATTCTGACTAACTGTGATGAAATAAAATTAGAGTACCGACGCCTGCACTTCTTTTTGCGACCTCCTAATTGCCCCCTCCCCTTCCTCAATGTTCTGATCCTGCTGCTGCTGCAAATCTATCACCCCAAACTGCTCATCCAGTTGACAGGCATACACAGCCATTTACACTTTGTCGTGAATGGTGGGTTTATGGGCTGCTGAACTGATGTTGTCCATTGGCATTTGCTGTAAACTGGATAACACCGATTAAATTGTGCCGCAGCAGCAGCAGCCCAACAGCACACACACTTGATAAAGAGACAAAACACACGCACACATTCTTGCATGTGCTTACCAAAAGAGAGAGAAGAAGAGGCTCGATGATTTAATAATAAGAAGAGGAAGTAAAGGCCAAAATGAAAGCGGAGATGTGGAGGAAAGTGGAGAAGACAAATGACAATACTTGCTACTTGTCATGAATGCTACTCATCGATGGAGCAGCAGCGGCAACGGCACTACCACGACATGAACACAACAAGGGCAAAGGGAGAAACTTGATGGCACGAGGACAGGACAAAGGGAGAGAAAGAAGAAGTGAAAAAGAGATAGAGGACCCAGACTGTGAGTACCCGTGCAGCGAACATGGCCAGTAAAGCCATTGAAGGCAATAAAATGGCAATCTAATGAAACTAATAATCATCCAGCGGATAATGCACACTGAGCAGACTTAGACTGAGGCTGAGAGAAAGAGGAACAGCAGCGGCATTTCGGGTAGATAGAACAGACATACAGGGCACACTGGAGAAGGAAGAACTCAGCAGAAAGAGAGCTTCTAGAGCCAGTTACCGAAACTGGGCGAGAGTTTTAAATTTCAAATTTATGACCAGGCCGATTAGGAGGAACATCAGCGTCGTCTCTCCACAACTGAGTCATTTCTCTCTCTTTCTCTGGCTCTCAGCGAACGATGTAATGACGACGACAAGAGCATCATCGTAGCCTGGTGCTCTGACACACACACACACACACACTTCTAGCACTGATAGCAGAGAAAAGGAAAAAGGGCGACAATGCAAATCGCAGAAAATGGCTAATAAGGAGAGACGGCGAACCATTTGGAGAACACCATTTGGGTGAGGACAGCAGACAGACAGATAGAGGGAGGGAGGGAGTGGGCGAGTGCGAGGTCGAATGAGCCACTGTGACCACTACACTACCCTCAGCAGCAGTACTACTCCCCAGTTGCACTCCACATGGCCTTCCCGATTCTATTCAGTCACTACTGCCGCTGCTGCTGCTGTCATTTGTTGTTGCTGTACCGCGAAAAATTGAGCTATCAGCAAATCAGCAAGCAACATGGCAGTGGGACACTTCTTTTTCCTCCCGTTTTTCCTTCCTCTCTTTCCTCTCCGTCTGTCGGCAAATCTCGAATTTCACTTTCAAATTGTCACAAAGCACAGAGAAACAGACAGAGAAAGTGTATTCAAATCTCACTTAGTCAGCTAATATTTTTAAATAGCCTAAGCTTTAGACTACGGCTGGCTGGAACAGCCTTCTTCTTCTTCTTCTTGGTCACCACTCTTTCTCTTTCGGCAATCACACAGAAAGAATCGACGGATTGATGGACGGATTGCCGAGCAATGGCAAACGAGTTTCAATAGTAGCAATGAACAAATGCAGAAAATGCAGTAAGATGGACAAAGATAGAGTAGAAAAAGAAAGGAAAGAAAAGAACGAGAGAAAATAAAAGTGCACTTACCAGCACGCACTTGACAATCGCGACTTCGAATAGTGCCGAAGCTATTGCTTGCCATGCATCGATATGTCTGAAGAGCAGTAACAGAAGAAGAGACGAGGAGTAGGAAGAAGAGAAAAAGAGAGCAATGAAGAAAAAGAAAAGAGAGAGAGGGAACAATAAGAAAAGACGTCAGTACCGGTTCGTCGATTTCTAATTAACGAGCGGAGGCAGCGGCAGCAGTGCGGACAGTCAGCCGTGTGCTAATTTAGGTTGAAGTGTGGAAAAGTGTTCTAAGTTGCCGCTGCCCTGGCTGTTGTTTCAATTTAACCGGCGGAGTGACTTACTGTAGAGTGAACATCCTGACGGTACTGCCCCACCGGAAAGGGCGGAAAGACGAGCTGACCGTTGGGGCGCACCAGTCTGAGGCCGGGCACGTCAAAGACGGCCGTTTGAGCGTCATTGGCCAGCACCCACCAGACTTTGACCGGCGGCAGTGAGGAAGTGGCCAGACAGGTGATCACCGCGCCGGTGCTGTTCGAGAAGTGCGTCCTCGCCGGCGGCTCGTCCAGGAACACCGGACCCATCAGGTGCTGTGGCTGGTGCTGAGGAGGATGCTGAGGATGCTGTTGGGATTGAGGCGACTGACCGAGGCCGAGGCCGACGCCGCCGACCACGGCGGCAGCTTCCGATGACAGCAGTGAAGCTGTCATTGAGGCGGCAGTGCTCAGGCTGATCCACAGGAGGAGGAGCAGGGTGCCTGCGAGAAAGGATGGGTGGGTGGAATGAACAGAGAAAACAGAGTTGCATGAAAATGTGGCAGTGCTGAAGGAGCTGCTGGTGGTGGTGATGGCAGTGGCGGTGCTGAGTGATGGTGTCACCGCTCTAAAATGACAGGCACCAGCAGTGGACAGCAGTGTCTGATGATGATGAGGGGAGAAGCAGCAGTTCCAATTAAGGAGAGATGTCTGACTGACTGGCTGGCTGAGTGAGTGAGTGACAAATGGCGCACAACCCCCTCGCATCATCGCCAGTGAAGCATCTCAATAAATCATAACACATCTGCTCGTCTTGTCGCTGTTGCTGTTGTTGTTGGTGTGCTGAAAAAGTGTGCAGTATGGCTAAAGACTGCGCTAGACGAATCACTGTAGCTCTACAAATGATGGCTGAAAACTGTCAAATTAGATTAGGGTCGATAGAGGAGCTTTAGAACTGAGAGCAGCGACTCTCTTCACGAGTGCTTATACTTTGCTTCGACAGAAGACATATGTCCCCTTTTTATTCGTTATGTTATCTTCTGCTTAACTCGGTCTTGTGCTGAATGCGCCATTTTAAAGTTCTGGTATGAGCGAAAGGCAATTAGGAATTATTGCGCCACAACGGGGCTCACAGCCAAATTGGCCTCAATAAAAAATGATAGTAAAACACTTGATGGATTAGTGATTGAGGGCACGATTCGCGCTAGCCGGAAACAGCACTTGACTTGATTTTTATGTTTACAAAATAACTTCAGAAATCACTGGTTATGAGAACTTACCATGTGAAAGTAGCATGTGAGGCAGCATAAGTACTGAACAGCCTAGGGTGATGGAGGTAGAGGTGGTGGGAGTATTGGAAGAGCATTGATGAGGATGATGATGGTGGCGATGGTGGTGATGAGATGAGATGAAAGCAGTGGGAGGAAACATTTCTCAGCATGAGCTCGCCCTCTGACTAGAGCCTCCGCCGGCTGAAGACTGAAGTACTTCCTGTGGTGGTGGTGCTGCTGCTGGTGAAGCTTGGTCCACTTGGCTCCATAGTGAGCAAATCGAAGAGTGGCCGGTGCAACAAAACTCTTCTTGACTTGTGAAGTGCAAGACAGTGATTTCCTTGGTGCGTCAGCCTGATAACTTCTTCATCTGCTGCTGACGCCCAGTGTGTGTGGTCGAGGCAATCTCTGGTGGCAGACTAAAGCAGTCCAGTGCCCAGCACTGGCAATATATGCCCGGCCGTGCCTGCATTCCATTGGCTGCTGCTGCTTTGGTTCTCATTTGGTCGTCTGCTGCTGCTGCCGTCGCTGCTATCGACCAGCATGCGCACAGTTTGTACACAGTCTGCAGATTGAGAGACTGTACCAGACAGAGTGTGCATTGGAATCCATCTAGTGGGCCACCAGAGAGAGAGAGAGAGAGAGAGAGAGAGAGAGAGAGCGAGAGCACATTTCCCGCCAAACTGTCTGCCACCATCACCACACAGGGCTGTCATTCTCTGTTCCACCAGCAACTTGAATAGTCATTGCGTTCGAATGAAGCTAAAATTATGACCAGTTTTTTAATTTGTCATCGTAGCATAGTAAAATGGCTATAAAATGGCACTTGAATATGAGCAGCAGAAAAAGTATGCACAAGTTTGATCATTCATCCATTGCACTATGAGAAGTTTTGGAAGCGTCCCAGCGAAACGAGGTGCTTAATGGTGGGTCGGTTGTGGGCGCAGTGCCAGGGATCACGCAGGTCCACCAGCTTGCTGAGCATCGTCGTCATCTGATCATACTGCAGTGAGGCGCCGACCATCACACTGGAGCGACAGGCTCGAGTGGCGATCTCCTCGCGCAAGCCAGTCAGTACATAAGCTCGGTCGGCCAGGCTGAGCTCTCCAGTCGGCGAGGCTTCAATAGCGACTGAAGGTGATAAAATAGTGATAGAGTGTAAAAAGACATAAAAAGATCACAAAACCACTTCTGCTCTTACCAATGATCTGCTCAATGTCCTCCCGGGCGGGCGTCCACTCCTTGCCGATGGGTATTTTGGTGAGAAAGACTCGATGACCCGCCTTGCCCTCGCGATTGAAGACAATGCCAAAGCCAAAGGTCTGGAAGACGTGCAGGTTCTCTTGGACGACATTCTCGTGCTGCACGCTGAGTCGCAGATCGAGCGGACTGACCAGCTTCTGGTATTCCAATTTCGGATTCGCCAGCAGTTGCTCAAAGTTGTAGCGCTCGTCAATGGCATGTTGATCGATAATATATAGATTGGAGTCCAGTCGGGCGATGATGAAGCCCAAATTAAATTGCCCACGGACGCGCATCTGCCCAAAGGACTGTTTCGTCAGCGTGTGTCGCAGCTCGGCCATGGCCACCTCGGGATTGGCGGCATTCTCACTCGACACGACCATCACCTCAGAGTTGTCATCATCGCCGAACTGACTGCGCTGGAATTCCTTCATGCACCGGGGGTACTCCTCAGCCAGGTCAGCAATGCACACGTCCACTGGCAGCGACTTGCGATTCGCCACCAGTTCACTATCATTAACATAAGCATTGGAAATGGCATCGTCGTCAGTCTCCTGATTCTCTTCATCAGGAAACGGTTCATCTTGGTCAATTGCCGCAACGTCGTCTTGGACAGGAGTAGTGCTTCTTCGTGGCTTAAAGTTGCTGATGTCAGCTAAAAAGGGATGCCTTACAGGCGTCGATGAGGCTACTGGTTGCCTCTTATTAAAGCTGATGGAGGCCGGTTTGGCGAATAATCTATCACACGGCGACGGACAGCGCTTGAAAATTTTTGAAGCTCGGTCAGCAAATTGAGTAAAACTGACATCTGCTTCTCCTCCTCTTCCTCCTCCTCCATCGTCTTTTCCTTCTTCATCTTCAGACAGTTCGCGCTTCAGCTGCTGACTGGAGTGGCTCAAGAAGCTCGTCATCAGGCGACTAGAGCTGAGACTGGTGACCTCAACCGTTTCCCGCTCAAACATAGTCTGCAGCGAATGCACAATTACTTTGAGGATGTAGTCGCTGTCGTCAAAGAGCACTTTCCGCTTATCGGGTGTTATGTTTCGATCAATCATCTTCTCGTCAACGGTCAATTTGAGCAGCACAAAGGGAGACTGCGTTCGATTGAAGTTTCGGTAGATCTCATTGATTCGCTTTCGGACGCTGGCCAGATCACAGGGTCGCTCGTTCAAGTAAAAGTACTGTCGATCGGGGGAAGAGCGACCACAGCCAGTGTCAGGCTTGGAGATGAAACCGGTAATTTCCATCTCAACGTGATTGGTAATTGAGCCGTCCAAGTCGGTATGACAGACAAAGGGCATCAAGTAGGAGAACTGCTTGTAGTCGAACACCTCGTGAATGTTCGACTGCAGAGACAGGCCATTGCAGGTAAAGTGGGGCGTGTAGTGCGCCTCCTGACTGCTCTTTCTCATCACCGAAATCTTCAGGCCAATGGCGCCCACGCAGTACTGGTAGATGAGCGACAGTGTCTGGTCGAAGGCGCGCTTGCCGTTCTTCTGCAGCTCCTTTCGGCGAACGTGAAGCGTGTAAAAGAGGTTGGAGAAGGATATGGTCGTGCCCACCTCTCGAGCCACCGACTTCCTACTGATGATCTGTCCTTCAGTGTCAAACTCGAGGAGCGTGCCAATTGGATCAGCAGCATGGCGAGTGTGCACTGCTACTTTGGAAATATTGCACAGTGAGTTGAGCGCCTCGCCGCGAAAGCCAAATGTTTCCACCTGCTCCAGGTCTTCGGTCGTTTCGAGTTTAGAGGTGCAGCTGCGCTTGCAGAGTAGATCAAAGTTCTCCCTCTCGATGCCGTGTCCATTGTCGATGATGTCCACCTTGTCGTAGAAGTTCTCAAAGCGAATGATAATCGAGTTGGCCTTTGCGTCAACGGCATTCTCCAGCAGCTCCTTCACGGCGTCTGCCAGCGTGGTGATCACCTGACTGGAGCTGATGCGTCGGGCGGTCTTTGTGTCCAGGCGCTTTATTTCCCGCCGGATGTCCTGCACGCCAGACTGGGGCGTCGGTTGGGTGTACGGAACGTCCATGTCGGTTAAAATTGGGTGATAAAATCCAACGCAAAGAAGCGCCAATGATGAGAGGATCTTTTTGTTTTTGCTGCCAAAAGTGGGACTATATCAACAGGCTCAGCTCTACCCGAGTCGGTGTCGCACGTGTTTAGATTTTTCTCACAATGTTCATTTTCCATGTGACCATTCTTGACTGACATTGGCCCTTCTAAATCCGAATCCAAGGATGACCCTTGTTATATCATCCCTGAGAAAAACGCGCAAAGGCACCATCGTGAAGATCGTCCGCGAGCACTACCTCCGCGATGACATTCACTGTGGACTGCGCTCCTGTTCTGCCTGCAAACGCTTCAAACTTGATCCTCGAGATAAATTCGCCCCGCCATTCTATCTGTCGGAGAATCCTCGCAGCGGAATTAGCAGCCTCTTTCCGGCGCCTCACTACCTGGTGGTCGACGCATCGCTTCTGACCAGCCAAATTGATCTCATCTGTGATGACAACTTCGGCGAGGATATTCTCATCTTGCAGACCGTTTGGAAGGAAGTCAAGCCAAACATTCCGGTCTTTTCGAAACTGCAAGAGGCGATGGCATCGAAGAGAATCTACCTGTTTGACAATGAACACAACAGAGAGTCGTTCCGGTGCGTCGGCAGGTGGTTGACATTTTTGAAACAAGTTAAATTAATGTTTTGTTTTGTTTTCCTTCAAACAGGTTGCGACAAAGCACTGAATCAATTGCTCAGTACAAGCAAAACTTGACATTAGAGGGGACTGAATGGCTGCGCCGTCATTTTGGCAGCAGCATCCAGATGGTCTACCTGACCAACTTCAAAGACTTGAACACCGTGGAGAAGAAGGAAAAATATTCCTTTGACATTGTGCCCATCGATGAGTACGTGAAGAGTCTGTCAAACAGCGTCTCACTGATGGACAAACTGGCAAACCTTAACTTTGCCGAAGATCTAGAGGCAAAAGAACAGCCGTTCCTCTACGCCGAACACCTGCCTCTGCACGAGGTTCAGGCGCAGATAAAGAACGGCTGTCTGTACAAGGGAAAGCTTCGCAGCAGTCCGTGGAACTACCTCGAGGCGACGGTAACCATAACTCGAGGCAGCGAGGAGATGAACGTAGTGATTCAAGGACGGGAGAACATCAACCGAGCCGTCAACGAGGACGTCGTCGCCATCAAGTTGCTGCCTAAATCAGAGTGGAAACTAAAGGCGGAGAGCATCCTTGACGAGGACGCCATCGACAAGGATGATGATGAGAAAAAGACGGAGGAGGAGGAGAAGGAAGAGGGACAGAAGGACGCGATGGAGACCGACACGACGGAGACACTCTCCGAGCGGCCAATGGGCCAGGTGGTGTCGATCATCAAGCGCAACTGGCGCAGCTACTGCGGCGTCATTCGCGAGAAGAAGAACGCCTCTCTGACCTCCTCAAACTTCTTCTTCGTGCCCGTCGACAAGCGCATTCCCTTCATTCGCATCGAGACACGGCAGTACGAGAAGCTGGTCGGCAAGAAGATCCTGGTGAGCATCGACTGCTGGAACCGCGACTCGAAGTACCCCCGCGGCCACTACATGCGCATCATCGGCGAGTCGGGCAGCAAGGAGACGGAGACGGACGTGCTGCTGCTGGAGCACGCCGTGCCGCACGTCGAGTTCTCCGCCCTGGTGCTCAACTGCCTGCCCGCGGAGGGCGACCAGTGGCGCCCAAGGGAGGAGGACCTCCGTGGCCGGGTGGACTTCCGCGACATTGCCGTCTGCTCGGTGGACCCGCCCGGCTGTACGGACATTGACGACGCGCTGCACTGTCGTAAGCTGGGCGACGACGGCAGTATCTACGAGGTGGGCGTCCACATTGCCGACGTGTCGCACTTTATCAAGCCCGGCACGGCGATCGACAAGGAGGCGGCGGAGAGGGGCACCACCGTCTACCTGGCAGACCGGAGAATTGACATGGTGCCAGGTAAGTCTGTTTTTAGTGCTTTTTCTAAAACTGGTTGCCTAATCTGGTTCTTTTTACTTCACTTTTGTCTACTAGGCCTACTCAGCTCGAACCTGTGCTCGCTGCGGGAAGAGGAGGAGCGCCTCTCCTTTAGCTGCGTCTGGAACATCAACAGCAAGACGGGCGAAATTGTGAGCACGCAGTTCACCAAGTCGATCATCAAGTCAAAGGCGGCGCTCACCTACGCAGAGGCACAGCTGAAGATCGACTCGGCCACCGACCAGGACGAGATTGCGCAGAGCCTGCGAAGGCTGAACCAGCTGGCGAAAGTGCTGAAGGCGAAGCGCATAGAAAAGGGCGCCCTCGTGCTGGCCAGCGCCAATGAGATCAAGTTCGTGGAGGTGGACTCGGAGACGGCCGACAGTGAGCTGGTCATTCTCGAGAAGAAGCACATGGAGACGAACTCGATGGTGGAGGAGTTCATGTTGCTGGCGAACATCTCTGTGGCGCAGAAGATCTACGAGACCTTTCCGGAGTTTGCCGTCCTCCGGCGGCACCCAAAGCCCTCCACGTCGAACTTTGAGGAGCTGATCAAGGCGGCCGCAAACCGCGGCTTCGACATGGACGTCCACGACGGCAAGAGCCTCTCGGCCAGTCTAAACCGAGCGACCGATCCGGCGAATGAGCACCTCAACCTGATGCTGCGCATGATCACCACGCGGTGCATGAGCCAGGCGGTGTACTTCTGCAGCGGGGCGCTCTCCGCCGACCCCTCGCTCACCTTTGCCCACTACGGCCTCGCCTCTGAGATCTACACCCACTTCACCTCGCCCATTCGTCGGTACGCGGACATAATGGTGCACCGGCTGCTGGCACACGCCATCCACCACGAGGCCC